TATCCTAATTGGACGTATTTTTATCAAACGGAACTATGTGCATTAAGACATGAGCCCTTAGACCTTTAAGAATACATGCGTAACAGGGCTCACGTCATGATGTACATATAGTTCCGTTTGATAGAAATACGTCCAATTGTGGCTCTAATAGGTAACAACGGCACCATTTTGAAATTTTCCGCTAGGAAGGGAGTGAGCTTTTACTTGGTCCTCTGTGTGAATGAGAAAGTGTTCATACAAAATAAGTATATTTTATGAATTGCTAGTGTTCTTTCAATTTGTTTTATTTAAATGAGGGACTGGCAGTGAGCCTTTCTATTCTTTCAACTAAACACTAGTATATTAGAACAGAATAGTTCAGCAGAAATTTCATTGTCCTCATGTTCAACAACACCATGGCGGAAAAAGTTCTAAAATTTTGAAATGATAATTTTATTTTGTCATGCTTTTCATGAGAAACCACGTATTACAGTTGATCAAAATTCCTTTGCTTGAGGATATTGTAATCAGTTTCCTCTTTGATCTTCGAAATTTCAATAATCGTATTTTTTCATCTACACTTCCCAGCATCCCTAATTTCATTTTGAGGTCTGTGAAAATTAGCCTACTCCGGTAGCCTTGGTTAAGTACTTCAAAGGAGCTCAATATCAGTTGATTATTTTAACTCTCCCTCCTGTTGTTGATTGACTGCAAGGAAAAGTGGATTTAGACCGAGTTCATCAGAAAGGAACCAACCCACATTAAGTTGAATCTTAGAGAAATAGGTTCGAAGTTTTATTCCTGCACAAGGCTGAATGTAGAATGTAAACTTTAACCTCTCTTTTCACGAGCTAATTTTTGTTTTTCTATTCTCAGTTTTTGGCAGAAGAAAATATACGGCCAGTGGAACTCGAAAACATTCTCAACTAAATGTTTTCGAAAATGAGGGGTTGGTTCCTTTCTGATGTTCTCGGCCCATTTTTCAGTTTAATATTCTAGCTGGGGCATTCGAAGATTTGCTCCGTTATTTGAGAACATTGAAACAAAGTACCCGAAAATCTTCATCAGCGAAGTTTCAAAATTGGCTCCTCGTAGCAATTAGCATGAAATTAACATCATCAAGATAGTGCAAACCGATCGAAGTTTTCGATTTTGTTCTTTTTTCACACTTTCGCACAGTTTTAATCCTGCATAAGGCCCAAAGTAGAAAGTAAACTTTCACCTTTCTCTTCACGAACTAATTTTTGTTTTTCGATCCTCAGTTTTTGGCAGAAGAAAGTATATGGCTAGTGGGCTCGAAAACATTCTCAACTCAATGTTTGAAAATGTTCTCATGTTCTCATGTTCAATGTTCAATGTTCTCATGTCGACAAAAATGTTGGTTGGTTCTTTTCTGATAAACTCGGCCCATTTTTCAGTTTAAAATCCTAGCATGGGCATTCGAAGATTTGCTCTGGTGTATGAAAACATCACAACAAAGTACCTGAAAATCTTAATCAGCGACAGTTCGAAATTGGCTCTTCGTAGCAATTAGCACGAAATTAACATCATCAAGATAGTGAGACCCGATCGAAGTTTTCGATTTTGCACTCGCTCGAACTGCTTGATTCGGGAAGAGGGAAACATGCGAACTGCTCCAAGATGAGGGAGCATCGTTGCCTCGTCCTCTCGACTCGGCGCCCGGATCGGAAGAGAAGGAAGAGGGCTCGTTCCCCCGCCCGCCACCGACGAGATAAGACAAAGTTTTACAACTCCCAACGTTTTTATCAACGAAATTAAAAGGGGTTTAATTAACAACTTTAAACTTATGAAACGAACGTAATTTCTGTTGCCATGTAGAGATAAAATTCATTGCTCAGCCGGATTCGCCCTCGACGCGAACTTGTTAAACTGTTCCGAATTCCCGATGTTTTATTTATATCCTGCCGCAATATATCTGCGGCGAAGATTACGCCGCCAACTCCCCATTTGCTCCGAGTCTTATTGAGGAAACGCGGCTCCGTCTCAGCGCTTCGTTTTTGCTGCTTTATGTAAGTTGGGAGATAAATACTCGAAATGAAATAACGCCCAGATTGAGTTGTACTCTGATTTTAGTTTCTGTTTGAGTCTGCGACGACTTCGTGTAGGTATTGCGACTTACGTAACAGATTGAAATTGGTATTTGAACTTCTTACGTGTGTACACGTTCAGAACATTCTATCCATTCATAGTTTCTAAGAGTATGTCTTTCTTCATTGAGATGCTCTTTGAGCGGAAGATAGAATGACCTCCCATCTGCAGCAAACCTTTTGTTAATAAGATGATTTGTGCTTTAGAATCCGAAGTACAAATACAGGGTTATTCAAAAGTCACGAGGGGGCTGGCAATTTGAAATTTTTGAGTTGCCCCCCGCCCCTTCCCCCAGAGGGGATGAAAAACTGGAAAGCACCCGAAAAAGTTTCTCCCTCGATATGAGAATAAACACATCGAAAACCGCAAAACGATAGCTTAGTTAGAACTAAAGTGGTGGCCAGTGGTGCGTGAATTTTGAATAACCCTGTATATGCAACATCGCTAAATTTCATAATTCGAACATAAGTTTCCTATCTGCTTCGACAACGGATACAATTGACTTCAAACATCATATGATATTCATGTTTTTTTATCAATGAAAAGTTCAAGACATATCTAAATCGCAATCAATCCAACATCTAATTATAAGCATTGCAATTCATCACGCACACCAATGAACATTGCATATATTATTGATTCCGTCCTATCAAAATTCTCAACGCTCTATTTTTCCTCCTTGAGACAGCAATCCACTGAAGTCAAACGCAACCCCCTCCCCTCCAATCAACCTTTTGAAACTTGATACGGTGCTCGTATCTTTCACTAATTTTTACACTAGAAAGTTCAAGTTTACTAATCAATTATTGGTATTTAAAATAGGTCTCTTGTTTAACACGCGGTCCGTCCCGGATAGGAAACCTTAAAATGGAATTTTTTCTTTGATTATGAATCGGTAAATTCTTACTAAATTAGCGGTCAGGCAATGCTAGTATTATGAGCTTTTCTTTCTTGCTCATTTTCCGCCGATCATCAAACTACAAAAGCTCACCTGCAAAGTGCACTGAGAAAAAACTATGGTTTATAAACCTATTAGAGGTAAATATGGAACACCTATAATAGTCGTAAATAAACTAATGATTCTCGGTCTGTGAACCATACTAAGGTCTCTGTACCTAATTAAGGTACCCCGTACCATAACTAAGGTATATGTGCTATTATTATATGTAGAGGTACTACTATTAGTGGTGTTCCATATTTACCTCTAATAGGTTTATAAGCCATAGTTTTTTCTCAGTGTGGGCCTTTGACATATTAGTTATTGCTTGTAATTTATCAGCAGCGTAACAATAAAAGCTAACTAGTTTAAATTAATGCAAGCAAATTATACGGAAGTAGAAACCAAGACGATACGGGTAAAAATGCCTGCCCATGCTCTGCTTCAATGGGATGTTCAGTGTTTGGGATGTGCTAATAATATAACGAACTACTCGAATTGGACAAAGCCGTGCATAATTCACGGCCGCATTTGTTCTAATCTGCATTTACGAAATTTTTTAAAAGAATTAAAAAAGAAGCTGAAAAGTCGACGACCTTTTTTTCCCCTTCAGCGGCAAATCCTCGCGAGGGTCCGCAAACAGACCAGCGTGTAAACACGAAAAGGACGGGAAATTACATTTTTTAATTTAGCACACCTCTTTTCATGTCAGAGCCTTTTGTTGTTGTACTTAATTTACATTCGGAGTGGGATAGGGGCTGCTTTATCAGCCGCCTTCCAAGACAAAAGAAAAACAACAGGCTTCGGACTATTAGTGTTAAGATAACTTACGGCTCGTGGAAACGTTTAATTGCGATACAGCAAGAGGCGAGCCAACTTTGTCAAGCAAAGATTTTTACAGCTTCAGCCTCTGAAGTCAAGTCTTCTTCCTCTGCGAAGTCTCTTACTTTTCTCGTCTTCCTCCCTCTCTTTTCTCTCTCCAGAGGTTTCAGCGAAGATATAGTTTTTATCTAACGAACACTCGTTCAACATGTAAATTCAGTGTTGATCGATGAGTTTTGACGAAACAAAAAACTTCTTTAATCACATAAAATAATAGTGTTGTGCTTAATTATTCTTATAAAAATAGGAAAAACAATCTTATTTCATCAAATAAATGTTGATATTTTCTGGAAAGGAAAAGAGAAATGAAGCATAGATTTTCTGACGTTGCATAAAAGCAGTTCCGTGGCCACAGTCGAAAAATGCATGTATTCGATTGCGATGTATCGTCGCAAGTCTCAGCTCGTGTCCTTTTCATTTATTCATTTATTTATTTATTTATTTTTTAAGAAATAAACGAACATTTTCTCTTGAAATTCGTTTTTGAAGTTTCTTCACTTTTCCAAAATATTTTCAGAGAATTTCATGGAAAATTGTAAATCAACCATCTTTCAAGAAATAACTCGATCGGAAATTGCCAACAGTGAAATGGAGTTAAAGCTACGTATTTTTCGACTTTAGCTATCCAATTTCAACTCTTAAAATCAGGGGGTTTAATGATTCACGAACTTTAAATCGTATCACAAATCGCGGCCAACCTTTGCCGAGCTCCTGATGCAGTCTGCATATTTCAAGATTCGCATTTTTTCCGAAAAGCTACAATTTAGGAATCATCCGTATGTATCGGGCACATCATGCATGCAAAGCGATTCACAGTTTATCTTATGGACCAGAAAAATGGCTAAATTAAAAAGGTCAATGCCGTTAACTTTTTCATACCACCAAGTATGTTCACTTGCCTCATATAAATCCCTCTTACGCTTGTTCATCATAATGTCTTATCTACAGATATGTGCTCACTGCGTTTTTCTATTGTAAAGATTAAATTTACTTTACGAATGGAGATTAATTAAATTCGTGCTTGATTAATCGATGTCCTCATGAACATAATGTGCAACATTAAAAACATGTTTTGTATGTTTCTTTGTTGCAGTGTCGGGCGCTCATCGAGAAACTAACAAAAATGCCAATCAAATATCACAGGACAGCCAAGAAAGGCGGAACCATCCATACTTCGATAAGTCTGCATCCAAGAACGTCACAGCCCTGTTGGGCAAGACAGCCTACCTCAACTGCAGGGTCAAAAGCTTGGGCAATAAAACAGTGAGTGACTCATAGCAATGCATACGTATTTTAACCAAGAAGGAGATTTTTAGCATTGGCTGATCCGAAAATTGGTGACATTGTCTTTTTTCCATTTAAACCTATGGATATGTATCGATTCTTGGAGGACCATGTGCTCCGACAAGAATCGATTATTAGCAAAGGTTTAATTGAGGAAATCCGGCGTTTCCGAATTGCTGGATCCGCCTCTGGTTTATAGGTATTTTTTATCGTTTTGTGCTTGAACTTCATGGGGAAGTTTTTAACAAAACTTGTGTGCGATAAGTTAGGACTTCTAATTACATAATTTAACTTTAGAGACATTAATGCGGCATCGAAATGCGAGGGCTGTGCAATAAGGAGAATGAAACTATGGGAGCATTTGCCAAACTACTCAAGGCTCCATGAAATAAAAAAAAAAGTTCCCTCATGGCAACCTAGAAAAGTAGAGCGATTGTAACTTCTTGTTTTGACTAGAGGACAAGTCTGCATGCCGACAGTAAAAATTTGAAATAATCGGTACGTTGGCTGTCTTTCTGGGCCGTAAATCGGCACAAGCATTGGTGGACGAATGGAGGAATATGCATGGGTTTTTCGACTTTCACACGTGCGAGCCTACCCTCCCAAGAAAAGGCGCAATGACATTCCCTTCTTACATCCTGTTAAGCAAAGCGGACGGATCTGCAAAAATGTCCTTGTCAAAACATTATATCCGTCCGAAAAATTATATGGAGGATACAAACTCGGTACTGTAACAGCAGTTTTCAATCTGTTAAAGATCTTACCTCGAACTTAGTCTACCTTGCGCCAAATTCGACTGCTAAAAGGGTAGGCTCTTTAAAAATATCAAACGTAGAAATCTCGCCTCTGTTTTGTTACATTATATAATACTAGCTGTTCGAACTGTTCGCTGGTAGCACCGTAACAGTTGGGTCCGTAATGCAATTTATTGGGGTACCACCACAATTATAAGTCCCCTAATCAAGATGGGTCTCGCTCTTAACCTCTACCCTCATTTCCTTGTCACCCATATTTAGCAAATCCTAGAAGTATGCATGTCATACATGTTGTAAAAAAAGAAGACGGAGAAAACATAATTTTCACTGGGAATTTATTTCGGTTTTTCTGTAATTTAATTTGTATCCTCCGTATATTTCGGCTTCTGCTGCTCGAGGAATAACCCTCGGATGAAAACCTACCGCTTGACGCATACAATCTAGTAGCTTGCTTTGCGATGTATCGATTGATCTGCCATATATACAATATCCATGGAAAAGGATCGACGAAATGGGTGTTCGGAACGAAAGCCTTAATAATCGATTCTTTATCATGGCTTTAAATGGGGGATTATCGATATTCGATCATTCACGCCTCGCCATTGATACAACCCCCCGCTAAATAAACTCGTTTTACCATTAAATAGCTGCTCGAGTGAATTTTGAACCATGTCGTTGGCCGGGGAACGTCCCATAATTAATTCACATCACTGCAATAATTAACATACGCTCGGCTCGCAGACCGTGCGGTCTGGACAAGAGACAGCGGAGTTGATATTGTGCATACCGTGATGTTGGGTCGGCGATAGCAGCCAATCAGTGCTCTCTCCGTGATCACAAAAAGTGAATAGCGAATGAACCGTAAACCACACTAAGCCAACCGTGAACCAACGATCAACCCGACCATGCAGGTTCCATTCCGAGGCTGCAGAATGGAGATGCAGCCCCAAAAGTACGTTTTGCCAAGTTAGATTCAAGTTGATCATTAACACTCCTTGGTAAATAGTACAGTGTGACACTTAGTAACTAAGTAACTAAGTGTGAAACTTAGTATGACACATCAATAGAAGCTGTTACATTTCCAAAAGATTTCGGCATTGCGTAGAGTAACTGCGTGAGTACTTCATCTTCTTCCATTTAAGCACCCGTAGCTATCAAATCCTCAACGATAGCGAAAAATTTTACAAAAAAATCAGAAGAGCACCTGAGGTAAACTTTGTGGATACCAGCTGCCGAACACAGCTTCTATTCAAAACAAACCAAATTAATCTGAAAACTCCAATTTTAATTATATTTATTTTTATAGTTATTTTTATTTGTTTTAATAGCTTAAATTTATAAAGCATAATACTGAAGCTATTAGGATAGTCAAAAAATTTTAAAACAATTATTAATTGAAAATAATTATTTAGTACAAAAGAGTACGTATTTATAAGTCTTTATATTTATATCTTCATTTTTATTTTTATTATTTATCAACATTTTAGGTTTGGTTCCTTATGTTTTTTCTTGTTCTTCACATTTTGTGTTTACTATTAGGTTTGGTCGCTACTCTAGCGACCAAACCTTTCCTGACGAAGACAGTTTTGAGGGCATTGAACATTTCCTGAGCAGTTTCCTTGTTCCCAACAATGCTCATAACTGAATCGGACAATGACTGAACGGTGATGTCCCTTGCCTTGACATCGAGTTTCCGAAACGCTGCTTCGGTCCTGGATTCCGGTTTATCGCCAAGAGCTTCCAAGCATCCTTCCTTCTCAAGTCGGATCTTAAGGCGAAACTCCCAATCTAGGAAGTTTTTACCTTCCAAAGGCTCGATTCCTCAGAAGTGACTACAGGTCGCCACTTTGAGGTTATCACCACACGTTCCACAAATCTCACGATTACGTTACAAATTAGTGAGTTTCCGCAGAAATTAACACGTATCGAAGGCCCATAACCTATGGGAGTGATGAGTGAATGAATGACATGAGTTAGGAATAAAGTTGGATTTTATTCGAAAACACATAGAACGCACATAACCGAGTGGCTCGCGCCATGACAAAAAAAGTGAAGCCTACCGCCGTAGGCACGCTGTAGGTAGGGTTATATCCCCGTGCAAGCAAGGGGCTAACATGCCGCCGGTCTCAACCTACAACAATATTGAGACAATGTAAATCAGAAAATCAAAAGAAAAGAATCAGAAAAGGAACGATTTGTCAATAAAATTCTGAATTATATCCTGAAAAGTTAGTAAAAAGCTAATTCAAAGATTGCTCGGGCAATCATTTAAAAGCAATTTTACTTAGAAAACCTAACGATCGTGATTTTGAATATATTCTTCAACCACAGTTTCCTCAACCGCTCGCCTTGAGCAGTTGCCGCTTCTTGCAAAAAACCAACTCACTCGCAGGAACTAACTGGGACAGAGAAAATTTTGAATCGGGAACCAGTGCGGACCAGGGTTTTGTTTCGTCTGGGAACCAGTTCGAACTGAGGGTGACGGCCACGGGAACCAATTCTGGTTCACCCCAATATGGATCATTTCCTTGAGTCACTCTGATTTCTGATTGAGTCACCCTAAGCTCATCATAGCGGCGAAGAAACCTTGATCACGAGTGAACGGCATGGACTCCTAGAGGAATAAGTCAGCGCCTTAATGGGATCCAATTCTTTTCACTGGTATGTGATAAGAAGTGCCCATTGGATAGACTACTGAGTCATTCACTGTAAAAAAAGTCTCTTGGATCCAAGGTCCAGACTCTTGAAAAATTCGACGAAGAAAAATACCATTAATTCAATCAGATTTTTACTTGAATCTGAAGGAAATCCGCTTGAATTGAGAGGCTTGGCTCTCGATTCAAGCAAAAATCCGATTGAATCAAGAGTATTTTTTCTTGGCAAATTTTTTAAGAGTCTGGACTCAGGATGGAAGAGACCTTTTTCCCAGTGTTTCGTCGAATCTTTTATCGTCCATTGCCCAACTCATCACGCATCGTCAATCGAATATAGTGATGATCTCTACGGGTGATTTTCACAAATTGTGTCGCACCAAACAGCGTATCTCTTGGGGGAAAAATTGTGCTCGAATGACTTTTTCCCCCTCTCTATTGAGATTTTCAGCTGTATGCTAATTTTTGACGCTTGTTGGCTGAAAAATACAACTTACTGTCTAAACATGACTTTTCCACATTATCTACATGCATTCGAGGCTTTCAATGCAGGTCCTTAGAAATATTTTCTGTGTATGTCCAACGACAAGCTGACGGCCAAAATTCCGTTCAGGGAGGATTACCAAGAAAAAAACTCCACACTAGCGCTGATTTACCATTACCGCTCGCTATCAGTAAGGCTCGGATAAATTCCAAATTGCCCGGTTTTTAAATAAAACGTTTGTAAGCTCAGTCATTGAGTGTGTTGAGTCTTCTAGATATTTTTGGCCTTGCTAATAAATCAACGAGACGCACGCGGGACTTCAAACAATCTTGTAACTCGTAGATCGATTTATTCTGAAAGTTGCTGATTGGTCCGTATTGACGTCAACCGGCATGGGTAGCGGGTTTGTCAGCTCATGTACATTTTTTTTGAGGTGTCCGAGAAGCTCGTCTAAGAGGAGATACATTTCTACCCGCAAATACGCAACGCTGATTTCAGGAGCTGTCGGATGACATTTTTCTCTTTGATAAATAACAGACTGATGTGACCAGTAATGCCGAATTTCTCGAAAAGTTTCCCGTGTGGATATTGATTCGCGTTGGAAAAATTTGAAAACCTTTTTCAGCGTGACACTTGTGGACGCGGCGGCATCTTTAATACACTCTCGTGTAACATGTTTTATTCATTCGGTTTCACACTTCATTGCCGAAATGTATCGGTAGGAAACTTCATCAGTACTTTCGACAGGATATTTCAACCCCTCGAAAGTGGTCTCAGTGAATGCTTCTTGCCATTTCTGTTCAAGCTCAATCACAGAGCGTGAAAGAAGATTCACTGAAGCTCCTTGAAAAAAAAAACTCGCATTGTAAACCTACTAATTATAATAAATTTCAGTTTACATATTTAAAGGCTTTACTCTGTCGTTTAACTTACGGATATATTGATTTGAACGGAAAAAGGGGGAATGTGTGTATTTTTAAGAAGATACACAGCTTCAGTTATTCCCTTAGACAGCCGATGGAGTTTCAGTGACGAACAATTACTTCAATGGAACCAAAAGCTTATTTCAATCTGAGTTCACGTACAGTACAGTGAGTTAGGCTTATGAGCCACAAAATAGGAAAAGTATATCTGCAAATAATGATAAGGTTTCAATGAAATTTCTCGTAATAGATTTTGCTGTATCAAGCCAGTAGTAGAAAAGTACTTACGGTCATAAACATCCTGCAAATCTTCCCAACTATTTGCTATCAGGAACATCCGCGTCTCCTCATCCATGATTCACGTTCACAAGAACTTACTTAGAGAAAATCGCACATAAATCACATTCACAATAGCTTCCTCGCACATAAATCACATTCACAATAGCTTCCTTAGAGAAAATCACATACAAATTTTAATGTAAATCAAAAACAATTACGAACAACTTGTTGCAGTTACTTTGGTTTAGGTATTTCGTCGCACACACACATCAATCGTGTAAACACAGTTTTGGAGGGAAAGAAGAAATAGCTGTAGCCAATAGAATGATGCCGGTTGTACCAAACGAGTTTCGTGGCGCGCGCCAATTTAATTTGTGAGGCGCGTGATTCGAATTGGTGCGCGCTACCAGGCAGCTCCGTACAGCACCTCATGCGGGTACCTGCCACACCAGTTTTGTATAGCGCGTTATATAATTTTTTTCAGTGTTTATCTTTCGGTTAGTCATCATAAGCGTCTTTAAAATTAGGGGTTGCCCGTTGGCGTAATTTTTCAAATTTCCACCGGCCAGTTCGCGGACTGGGCAGCGGGGGTGGCCAGTCCGCGAACTGAGCAACTTTTCTGCCCAGTCCGCGGACTGGGCAATTACACCAACGGGGTGTAACATATGTACACCCACAACTAATTTTTAATTTTCTTTGAAAATATGTTCTATGATAAAAATTTCTAATAATTACGTATAAAGAATAAAACATATTTTGAGGCAGAGAAACAATTAAATATGAGTCATTGAACGCTAAGCGTGACTAATTTGTTTAAAAATTATTTCAATTTTATTCCTCTAACTAGAAGAAAAATTATATGAATTACCAGTGATGCAGAAAATGTGGAGAAAGTTTTACCTTTATCCCTTAATGCCAATGATCATTTAGCGCCTAAGTGCATCATCAGGGCGTAGATTCCGTAATCTTATCGTGTTGTGGAAACGCACATCACAAATATAAAAAACTATCAAAATGTTTCAAAACTTTTTTCGCCCAATACGCATAATTATTTTCCCTAAGATTTCTTAAACTTAAATATTGTTGATTTGTTTCTCTTTTTCAATACTTATTATAAGTAATAACCCCAAAAATGGAGGAAATCTACCCACCTGGCTCTAAGAGAAGATTCACAGGGTCACTGTAGGATATGGAGTCCAATTTTGATTGTTTCTTAAAGAACCCGGGTCGCTGAAAGAGTTTAATTCGATACTGGTACTTTGATACAATTGACCTTCTGGTGCAATGTTTTCTTTGGAACATTTGGAGGAAGGAGGCTTTGGAACATAATAAATTGATCGGTTCTCACCAGGAAAGACCGCGGCTTTTGCAAGGGCCAAATATTTAAATTTGTTTGGACTTATTTTGTGGCTCACACATGAACTCTGAGTATGTGTGATGATAATTGTTTGAAGCATTTCTCTGATTTTCGCCGTGACGACATTTTTCTTAAAAGCATCTTTGACAAATTTACCGTTCAGTGATGAATCTAATACATCTAAAATAAATTCTTGTAGCTCCTTCACTTCTGCAGGAGATGCCTGCCCTAAATCATATGTATCAATGCACTTGGCACTGATGCCTTCGCACACTTTTCCATACAACTCTCTCTCGACTGTTGGCTCTTGATCTTCCTTTTTTAGATGGACCTTGATCTATTAACGATGATACATCCGTCTCTTGCTTTGAATTTTCTTTGACAGTTGGGCCTCCTTTTTTTGATTCACCTTGTGGCACTACTGGAGTCCCATTTGATTCCGCATTCAACAATTCCGCATTCCCATTACTCAGAATTTCATAGACACCACATAAAGCATATATCTTATTCTAGTTCAAAAAACAAAACAAAATTAGTGAGAAATTGTTGGTCAGCTAACAGCCTAGATGGAGGGGATGTTGAGAAGATGGAAAATGAATTTTTAAGTTTTTCTTCACTGAGAATTCCTTTCTGTTGCAAATTATTTTCCCTAAGATTTCTTAAATTTAAATATTATATGTATAAGAATATTTCCACAATAGTATTATTATCATACGTACAAAATGTGGTTTTGGCAAACTTTTCGGCAGGCACTGATCAGGCGGGTCTACTTTCATCTGCTTCAAATTAGGTCTTCTTCGGCTATGAAAATTGTAGAACTTTCTTTGGAAAACATCATACAGTCGGAAAAATGCCGACGAAGCACCGTCGTGAAATTACCTCATACTAGTCTCGCAAAAATGTGCAAAATTCAAAGCACAACTTTCAGACTCTTTTTCATGTGCCTGTAACGCTAAACATGGAGCGGCATCTGTCGGCCGAGCTTGAAACCTCTGTGGGAGTGCGCTGAAACGGCGAAGAATCTAATAAAAAGCTTTCTCTATAGAGCGCGTTGGGTACACCATCCTCTCCCTCTGAACTTATCTCCGTGCGTGTTCAAGCAGGAGCTCGGCCTAAATTTTTATATTTCCTATATATCCTAGTATTGTTAAACAATAGAACATGCGTATAGTTAATACACTTACATCGGTCGCTTTTAGTTTTCACACAAACATAACTTTCCAATAAAACCGGAGAATTCTAAATACAAAATCTTGCGTCGTAAAACAAAGTTTTCGTTTTCATGCAATCCTCCAACCCTTTCATCTGAGTATTGTTAGTAAAATATTCACTTCAAAGAGCAAAACATACTAACTTCTCGATTGTTAAATATGATTTCGTGACCAAGGCGAGGCTTATTGATGAAAAGTCCTGGATTTATAGTTTCGTGTGTGGACAATTACCGTAGATAGCAAATGAATCGTCATTGCCATGCACTTGGCGACCATCTATAGACATATATTTTTACGAGTTTATCTGTTCCAGGAACAATCGATTTACACCGGGCTCATTTAATTTGCTCTCTATTATGAAAATATCTAAACTCATAATGTTTAAACTTGAAGTTAATCGCGATATTTGTGTCGTAGGTTTCGTGGGTGCGACACCGAGACATCCACCTTCTCACTGTCGGAAGGTACACTTACACGAGTGACCAGAGGTTTCGAGCGGTGCACCAGCCACACAGTGAAGACTGGACGCTCCAGGTCAAATACCCGCAGCATAGGGACACCGGCATCTATGAGTGTCAGATATCCACGACGCCACATATGAGCCATTATGTTCATCTCAACGTTGTTGGTAAGACAATTGAGTCATTCCTTTCGAAAATGACTCATCAAGGCTATACTGAGCTATGTTTTTTGGACGTTAGTCAGCTGTAATTATTCCTACAGCCAGTGATGAGTGAAGAAACGTTGTGTACATCATTTCATCCTTCAACATTATTGTCGTGCAAATGTATTGAATTTGCTGATCACGGAATTCACCAGTAATATCTGAATTAACAATGCATTAAGAACAAATGCAATTACTGCATTGTAAATAGATTTACTCAAAGTTCTGAATGTTTTGCCAAGGGGACGGAACAAAAGAAATTGCCAATGGAGCGATTAGAAGAATTAGCGTCATCTTTGATGCGAGGAATAATTTTTACGCTCACTTTTTAAAATTTGATATCACAGCACCAAACGTGTTGGTTTGTTTAATATAAACCAGGATGATTTAATATGGTTGGATATACTACTTAACGGACAAGAGTTATTTTGCACTGTGCAGAATATTAGCCATCGAAAACAATGAATTTGGTCCTTTACGTAATTTGTATTTATTTTTGCACTTGAGGGCTCCGTAGCATCACATCGCAAATACGTGAAGGAATTGCATTTGGTACCTAGCGCTGTGTGACGTCTTATCATCCGCCTTGGTTTATTGCAATCAATGGTTTTAAATTGAGGGATTTGATAACTATAAATGAGGTATCTTTTACAGTAAAATTGTGTGTTTCGCAAGTTGTCAATTTAAGAGCCGTGTCAGTTAATTATTTGCTCAGGGCGCATTTACAATTAATTCGTCTGATTTAAAATTCCTTACAAGTCAATGTTAAAGTTCTCATACTGATTTTGGATTAATCTTTGGAATCTTTGCATTCAAATATTTCCACAAAAGTTCAGGGAACAATGCCAAGAAATTGGAAGCAAAATGAGTGCCTTAAAGAGCATTTTGCAACTCAAGCCAATCCTCCTTCCAGATGACCTCTTGTTTTGTCCAAAATTTGATTTTCTTGGCTCTCGTTAGCTCTTATCCACAAATAATGACATCAACCGTCATTTTACAACGGTATTGTGCTACATATTGCCTGTACTTTTTACACCTGTGTACTGTGCTAGAACAACCGGAAAATAATCGAAAAATGCATTTAAGTAATATAGTATCATTTAAAAACAAGCTTTTTTCACCGAAAGTTTGTTTTTACTGTCAACAAATTATTTTCTGTGTCGTAGGTCTCCTCTTTGTCATCATTTCCATGTTTCTCTTTTTCTTCACAGAACCAATGACTGATATTGTAGGTGCCCCTGACCTGTACATAGATCACGGCAGTACTATCAATCTGACATGTGTAATAAAATATAGCCCTGAACCTCCTGCCTACATATTTTGGAATCATAACGATGCTGTGAGTAGTTTGCTATCTTTAATGGTCATTTACGTGAAATGATACATAAATACGAATTCAATCAATCAGTTCCAGTGGGAACCAACTTGCAATGATACTATGAGGATTATTCATTAACGGTCAGCATAATCAGCCCTTTTTTCATGAGTCAATCTAAGTTAGGGCTATATGATACACTTCAACTATTAATTGATACAATCAAAATGAACTTTCTCCATCTTATCAGTGGCGGAATCAATGAGATGACTTAGAAAGAGTCATTTACAACATTCTTTCTAAAGCAGTAGAGGAGTTTGAAACCCCTCCTTTTGGAAAAATTTCAAGAATAAATTTTTCAATTTATCTTTTTTTTTAAAATTAATCTAAATTCCTCTCAATTGTTACCGCCACGCTCTACACTAATTGATGTTACCATAGAACGATTATAGTTTCCCCTTTTTTTTCATAAGGACTTAATTTTTTCTTTTCTTCTGATTTCGTTTTTCGCTTTTTTGATCTAGAGAAAAGATCCTTGTTTTCATGGCCTCTCTCGTGGATTCGCTTTTGTATCTTCCTCATAGATTGAATTTATAAAATCTGATTATGAAAAAGTTACCATCAAAATTAGTATTTTGCAAGCGCGGTCAGACGGCAGGTTAAAAAGCATTTGTTTCCATTTAAAGATAGTCATCTTTGACCGAAGAGAAATCTGCTTGAGACCAAGAAGTTTTGAGTGAATGAAACGTTTTCAATTCAAATTCCCTCTCTTTTTCTCTAATGTTTAGAAAATTTAATTTTTCATCGATAAGAAAGTTAGAATAATTCTTCCTGAATTGAAGAAAATAAGTCAACTACTCTCTGCAGTGAAGGTTCAAATCAGTCGAGGGCAAAACATTTCATCGTAAAATTAAATGAATGTATGTAAATCTTGATCACAAAGATGCCAGGAAGTGAATGTAAGCCAATTTTTAGCAAGCTTTAATGACTCTCTCTTTTTCAGATTATCAGTTACGATTCACCGAGAGGCGGTGTCAACGTACTAACGGAGAAGGGTGAAACGACCGTGAGTTTCTTGCTTCTCCAGAAAGCCAGGCCGACGGATACCGGCCGCTATCAGTGCAATCCTTCTAATGCCCAGCCCAAAGCTGTTATGGTGCACGTGTTGAATGGTCAGTATAGTTGAGGTGCAATCGCTGCCGTGATTCTCCACTTCGTATGTGCCTTAATCATAAACTAACTCTGCCTAAATTACATTCGATATCGCCGCAGGATTTGAAGGTTCCCGTCCAGTTTTGGCCTATCGGTCAGCGTGTCTGGCTATAGGTCAATAGGTCCCGGGTTTGAATCCTGGGAATGACGACAAATTTATTTTGCCTAAATTAGGTGCTCCGTTTTCCTTATTGATGGAAATTTCTGAAGCTGTTTTTTAAAAGTTAATTTACGAACTACTTTAGATGGGACCAAAAAGTCTAAAAGGGTGCTTGGAAGTTTTCTGGGACGCGTAGAGTGCCGTAATGGGTCTTGGGAAGTATTTGGACCAAGTGACGTATCAATTACTGTGATATCATCCTCGGCCTCTTAGTGGGACATTTACAAAAATATGATGCTACGCAACCTGAAGAGAAAAGAAGAACATTTGGGGGACAAAGCATGAACTGAGAAATTGATTCACCTGGTTAAGGTTGAAAGTGTAGTCGGTAGTCAAGTTGAGATCATGCCCATCCTAAGGTTGAGAAGTGGAATTCGGCTGCCGTTGAAATGTCCATCACGAGGTCGGGATTCGGAATTTAGGCCGCCGATCGCTTCAGGATTTGAAGGTTCCCGGCCAGTTTTGGCCTATCGGTCAACGTGTCTGGCTGTAGCTCTATAGGTTCCGGGTTTGAATCCCGGAAATGACGACAACTTTTCACGGAATTGCGACGAGTGAATCTGTAGCAAAGGGTTCTACTGGGCCTTAATCCTGAAAATTCGAGAGCCTATAGAGCATGGATGTACCAATCCCACGATGATTTCTACGGACACTAAATAGTTGCTACATATGACGCCCATATGATTGTAGGTACAAACTCGAAGCATAGGCCAATAAGTCAGCAAAAAAAGACGAAGAAAAAAAAAACGAATTGCTAGAGATGCAACGAAAGTGTTTCCCAAATCGGTTTTTTTTTGCAAACTCTCAGCGCTGTTTTAACCCATCGAAGTGCTATGATTGAAGTTTGTGACAACCGGTATATATGCTTGTATGATGCAAAACCGCGGAGGCTGAGTCTTTCCACTTCTTTCGTTGTTCACAAGATGGAGAATTAAAGAGAAAAAATAAGAAATGTAGACCATCTAGTTTGCTTTTAGCTACAAAAAAAATCTCTACGCCTTATAATTTTCGTTGCATTGAGAAATAGCTGATTTTAGGCTGGTTTTTGTTCGTACATGTTATGGGCCGAGTTCCTCGAGCGAGTGGAAGTAGATCCACGTGAGCGCACCTTGATGTGCCTGGGCCGATCTTGAACAGCTAAAAGGCTCCTAGATGTGCCCTTTGTGTCCCTGCACATGTAGGTGGGCCCAATTTAAATGAAATCGGGTGGGTCCGGCAATTGTTTTTACCGCATTAAGCGGGAAAAGCTTTGCCGCAGAGGTGACTTGGCATCTAAGTATCATTACAGATCAACAGGCAGACAAGATGTTGATCTCGCATCACTGTAACACTGCGTCTGGTGGTGCTGACAACAAACAAAAGGCAGCTCAAGTGAGTTGTGACAATATATCTGTTATATGTTGTAAAACTGGCAAAAGGCGATGTTAAAAGAACTATTTTGGTCGTGTAGGGTATGTGTATAAAGAACTTGTGGACACAATGGAAAATTAGCCGTTCTTTACACATGAAATAAGTTTCGACCGTGAGAGGAGCGGATTTTGAGCTTCAAACGTGCTGAAAGCAACCCCCCCCCCCCAGAATGTCCCTTAGGTCATTAAGTCCCTAAGAGGCCAACTCGAGTGCATAGTGTGATTCACAAAAAGTTCGTCCGTGAGAAGGTACCCGAACAATTGCAAGAAGAACAGTCCAAAACGCAACTCCTTTGTGCTACAATGCGAGGCATTGCTCCAACAAATAATTAAGGTATACAGACAATATTTGAACTTAATGCGGTGATGGGATCTTTTCCTTGTTCAGTTTGCGTGCTTTCAGCCAAACCTACTTTTTTTCTTCATATTCACGTATGGTCATTTTAAGGTCATTTTTAATGTACAGCGATAAAAACATTTTCCAGTAGAGTCACCTTAGAGGCTGATGGTTTTCCGGTCAGCGCCTAGCGATTGTAAGCTTTCTGGTAAAGTACCATGGACAGTTCTCCGGTTAAGGGTTAAAATATTTCCGGTTTAGTGACCTTAGCGGCTGACGGTTTTCCGGTCAGCGGTAGACAAATTTCTCGGTTTTGGGCAGAGCTTTAGTCCAGCTTGTGCGCAACAAAGTCTGCCCGGTTTTAGCTAATTTTTCCTGGGCTTATCGGCCTGAGGGTTGACTTAGATAAGCTCGAAACAAATTGGCGCATCTATGTGTGGCTAGGCATATCGAAGACAGACCCCGGCCACTCAGAACCGCTCGCTTGACGAGATTGATCCATAACATGTAGGGATTTCTCGTGGATTCCTTTTTGCGTGAGTTTGAACTTGCGAAACTTAAAGCTTGAGAAAAATAGAGAGGATGCAAAAATGGTGAAGAAAATCATATATGTAATTAGGCGAGAGCGAGACGACTTTTTAGGTTGAGATAACGAAAATTTGAGGCTAAGAAAACCGGCAAAATGTCTAAATATATCCTTGGAGTCCGATCTGGCCCTTACAACTAGTATTCCCTTCAAAATGAACCAAATATAAGATAAGTGCTCAAAATTCTTGTAGCACTTTCTTTTAAATTATATAATTGCTTCAAATCTTACGAAAGTAAACATTTTTCGCCAACTGTGTGAAGATAGAACGGTGTTATGCCTTCAATTCATGACATAGGCAAAAGTGGTTATACAGGAGTTGGAATAGTGGTATCAAACTATAGCGTGAACCAAGCCTACGTGAGCACTGCTCATGAATAGATGTAAATCAAATATCCCCTCTGTACGATTTTCACGATATTAACCTGCTCACTTGTAAATGCAACCCTAGGCAAAAAATTTTACTCCACCTCGAGCAAAATTGTTGTTGGGATAAAGAGTGGACTTATTTGAATCATGGAAAACATTTTTCATACCCTCATTAATAAAAATGGGCCAAAAGCCAACTTTACATGTTTCGTTGCATGAATCATTAGCATAGGCACGCCAAAAACGATAAACATTATTCAGGGGAGTTTTTGTATCGATGTTATTAGTTCCGAATGAAAAAATGAGGTTTAGATTTCTGTGCAATCCGAGATAAGCGTATTTTTTTCCGTTAGATCATTCTGATATAATTAAATCAAAATTGTGTTTTCAAATTGAAAAGTGAGATTATTAGTGTTTGAAATTAATTAATGTTGACTCCTAGTTCGGTACATATTATTGCAGGAAGAACCTGTACTGCAATTCAAATCAGAAACCTATTTGAGTGTCTTCACTCTTTTTATAGTCCTTTTCTACCCCTCAAGTCTTCGAAACATTTTCCCACATCATGAAAAACACGGAAGCGTAATGTAGGAGACCATGCGTACTTATTCTGGAAACTTGTAACCTTAATAAAGGCACAGAAACAAAGGATGGACCCTCGACTGCGGCATCTCAGCAGTGATAGAAGCCTTTACCTCTGGGGATACAACACTTCCCAACAGGCTACCTCGGCCATTTTACCCTCTTCTTGTTGGCTGTTTAGCTTCACCTTACGTCGACTTGTTTGATGTGCGAAATGCTCAACAGCAACTCTCCCTCTTCCTCCACCATCTTTTTTGACGAGACCCAAAGTTCTGTTTGTCGAACCTCTATTTTAAAGAGCCGACAGTGTCTTCTGGGGATATAAGTTAGCTCTGCTCTATGCGTCTCTCCTAAGTCCAGGGTCCTGGGTCCTGGCCTAGGACTCCTGGGTCCAGGTCGCCTCCAGCCCTGAGGTCGTCCAATCATACCAAGTTTCTCCATCCATTCCCTCGACGCGTGTGGACCTTATTTTCCTGTAAATCTTGGTTCATTTCAATACAAAGTGAACTTGGCAGCCTCGCGATCTAGCCCGTTGGCTCTGCAGCGTCATGCGTTCTATTTCTCTCAGGGGCAGAATGGACCACTAGACAAGGTACGAATTTCAGCATTCTGATTCATGCTTCTCAACCAAAATTTCACGTAGAACACGACGCGCACAACGAAAATTGCCGAAATCAACTCCTTACGAAGATATTCAATAATTCTTGATGCGTGAATTCAAACCACCCGCTCATGAAAACTCAATGCTCTACGTGATTCACGTCGCGAGCTAAACTTGCCTTTTGCCTATAGTTTGAAGAACACATGCTGGGAAATGAACATTGCTCGATTGAGAAGATTGCTGAAACCGTTGTAGTGCGCGATTTGACTCACGTACAGCTTTGAGTTTCTTGTGAGCGGGCAGTTCAAATTCCTCGTAACCAATGTAAAAGAAAAACGTTAATATCTTCTTTAGGAGTTGGGTTCAGTAATTTTCGTTGTAAGAATCGTGTTTTACGTAAAATTCTGGTTAGGAAACATGAACCTATCAGATTGCTTAAATTCGTGCCTTGTCTTGTGGTCCATTTTGACGGCTCTTTCGCACGGAGACGCAACGTTCATCCATGAGTCCAAAATTGCACCACCGACCAATCAGAAGCGCTGAACCGGATTTTAGTGCGGTCGATGCTTGTTCGAAGTGTATTTAAATACGGTGGAAGGACCGTCAAAATTCGACCCCGAACTTTCATTTCCACCGCTTTGAACTGCTGATTAGTGCGCTACTTGTCAATAACAGCCTACGAGAAGGCAATATCAAGGATTGAGGGGTACACGGAAAAAAGGAAGTAGTGCTGAGCACTAACTGCAGTTTAGATCAAATGGAGGCAGCTAGTATGGCAGTAGCGCTGAGCTCTAAAAATTTAGGGTCCAGCCCCACAGGCTGTTGGTCTCAGTAGCACTGCCATATCAGCTGGGTCCATTTGATCGAGACACACCACTTTATTCTTTTTTCCGTGTAGATCTCTGGAAGTAGAAGTGTCTACTACAGAAATCCTGCAATCTTCTACTAGACAAAAATACAGTAGAGAATTGCTATTTGTTTTCAAAAAAGGACCTGGAGGTAGGTAAAGGATTGGCAGGAGCTGTCTTAGTTAAACCGCAGGAATCCAATGTAGGTTGATTATCTTTTGTTCCTCAACTTAAAAATATCAATCCAGGTAAATATTAATGTGAGTGTAAGGAAAAAAGTGTGTATCTGTATTGAAGGTACTTTCATTTTACACATGTTAACCTGTTCGTGAATGCAGAGATAAAAAATAATAACTAGTTCTCAGATGTCTAATATTACACACTATTATTTTGATAAAAATTTACCGCAGTATCGCAAGAGCTCTCAGGATCTGAAAATATTATTTCCTTTACTTTTAGCCTAAAATTAGGTAGATGTATAATTCAATTTATGGTCTATGTCTTCGTCTATTTTATTCACAAGAACAAAGAGCCGTTTATCAAGTACTTACGCAGGCATTCTACTGTATCAAGAAATTGAAATGACACAAAAATTTCTCCACTTCTGTTGAAGCTTCTAAACTAGTTTATCTAATCCCTCGCGGCTATCTTAAGTAGTTGATTTGCATGCTTAATCTTACTTACAACGTTCCCTCTGCAAACTGTTTGCACACTTGAAACAACAAACTGCAATGACAAGGAAACTCGTACTTATCGGAGGAAAAAAAAGAAAAGAAGAAGCAAACAAATTATTACTGAGTCAAACAACGCTATCCTGGTCAAAATAATTTGATACGGACTAGTAAACTACTATTGCTGTAACAACTAAAATACATGGTGTGACAACTTGCTTTCCATGATCCAACGATTTTATTTTCCTCTGCGCAAAAACTAAACACATGAAAGGCATTGAAAGGAGACGGATGCGTTTCCAACGCACCTCGTTCTCTTTTTTGTGCTAACATAGTTCTCACCCTCGAAATTTATAATTTCGAGAATCCCGAGATGAAAAGTTGGTAGTTTTGAAAACGCCTTCAATTATGGCGTGATTCCTCACGCATTCCGGAGAGAACGAATAGTTGTATCGTTGCGCCTTAGCAATGCGATGGAAGATAAGTATTAAATCAGCCTCTACACTGGTATTTCATTGCCCGTTATTACAGTTTTGGTCGCATAGTTTAAGTGTCCTAGTGTCCTAGGATTGTATTTAGCAAATGGATAATCTTTATAGAAGAATTAAAAATAAACAAGCGGTAAAAAATATAACTGAATAAAAGAAATACAAATCTACAATAAAATACGAGAAAGTACAGTAAAAAAAGTGTATTAAAAGCTCAAGTAGAACGAAAGCACATCCGAGCAAATTACAGGCTCAGTATCAACTAGGACAAAAGCTATAAACAAAAAATTAAAACAAGAAAATGTGCGCATAACTGTCGCTTTAGCTCGTGAGATCAGTCATTCCATGTATCTCATGTTTCGAAATTTTCGAAAACGCCTTCAATAATTGTGGCGTGATACCTCACGCATTCCGGAGAGTACGAATAGTTGTTTCGTTGCGCCTGAGCAATTAGGATTGTATTTATCAAATGGATATAATCCTTATAGAAGAATTAAATATAAACAAGCGGTAAAAATATAACTAAATAAAAGAAACAAGTATATAATAAAATACGAGAAAGTACAGTAAAACAAACAAAGTGTATTAAAAGCTCAAGTAGAACGAAAGCACATCCGAGCAAATTACACGCTCAGCATCAACTAGGACGAAAGCTATAGACAAAAAATTAAAACAAGAAAATGTGCGCATAACTGTCGCTTTAGCTCGTAAGATCAGTCATTCCATTCATCTCATGCCCCGAAATTCATGCGACACGAGAATCCCGATATGGAAAGTTGGTAGTTTCGAAAACGCCTTCAATTGTGGCGTGATACCTCACGCATTCCGGAGAGTACGAATAGTTGTTTCGTTGCGCCTGAGCAATGCGATGTAAAATGATTATCAAATCAGCCTCTGCGCTTGCCTTGTCGATATTCCTTTGCCGTTATTGCAGTTTTGGCCGCACTGTTTAAGTGTGCTCAAGCTAGGATTTTGTTCAGCAAATAGATAATTTTCATAGAGGAATTGAAAATAAAACAAGTGGTAAGAAATGTAACTAAACAATGGGGCTCCATCAACAATTAACTTAAATGCACCGAAAAAGTATTGATTGTTCTCTGCTTCAGAGGTACTGATTTTTTTGGAAAGATACTGAAAAATTACCGTGAAACAACTTAATTGTTGCCAGCCAGTTTTAGCAGACACCCTGGTGATTTTTTGGGTTAAATTTTCTCCTGCAAATTGTTTAGTCACGTGTTATTTTTTTGCTTGCAGGTGAATATCCAGCCGCGATGCAACACGGTGGCGAGGCGCAGTTGAGAGTCAGCCAGAAATACTCTCTATTAATATGTGTATGCTTTTTCCTCCTGGTTAAGTAGCAAATACTTGGTCACGATTGTTGACTTTGCGAAAGATCTCTTGTAAATATGCGTCTCCGCCTTTGTAATATATAATCTATCTTTTTCATTACTGTATTCGCCGTTATATTGTTGTTTTATTTTTATGAAAGTTTAATAGAAAATGTAAAATAAATAAATTTTGCCCATAAATAAGACACGAGTTTCGTTCCTCCGTCCTCCTTCTTGCTAGGTTGCAAGTTGTCAGGATTACGCATTTGTGAAAAAAAAAAATACTCGAAAGCTAAGATCGTGAAGTCTAAAATTACCTTCAAATGGCGGAGGAAAACACTATTGTTTTGCCCGAAGCTATGTCGTAAAATTCATTTCCCGATATTTTTTGTCACTTTAGGGCATTGATCCGACCAATAATCAAGCAGTTGCCCCTAGCTAAGATTGGTCGTACAGTAGTATTTTGGAACAAAGCTTCGCCAGGATTTCTTCCTATCCCTACATTGCGATTTTGAACGTAGTGAGTAGAAGAACAGGGATTATTCTGAAACGATCGAATAAGATATCAAAAGGTCCTGGAAGCGGTAGAAAAAATCAAGGACATTCAAGCACAATTCACATTACTGAAATAGGACGAAAAATGAAAAGGTCCACTGAAAAATCACGCACCAACTAAATCCCTCTTCAATTTTCTTTTGGCGAATGACCTTTTTCCATCACTACTTTGGCCTTGCCAAGTGAATTTGGAGCTTATGGTTGGGTGTAAAGTTTCTTTCAACACTGCTCGTGCAATCAGTGTTGCCTGTTTTTTGGCTGCAGCTTTCAAGCTCACCATTTTCTGAACCTAGAAATGAAGAAATTAGTAGGACAGGAAAAGTTAGCCAGATATGCACAATTTTTAATCATACCAAGGGTATGAGTCGGGGTAATGTCCAAGTAAAATCGACGACGGTGTAAATCCGCAACCACAAGTCTCGTTAGCTGCTTTAGAAAATCACCGCTTCTATGTTATTTTTAAAGCAGGACGAATTGACATCATTCCTTGAAATGTTCGCAGAATTTTCTTCGCACACAGAAGAAAATTCACGGCAATGTTTTCAGAATAGCCGTTGAGCGGTTTTCCATTTAAAGGATTAAATGTGACAGGAAGTCTGCAACGTCGCAAACCAAGGCACACGGTTGCGGCCTTACGCAGTTGGAATAAGTTTAGTATGATTTTAATACTTCGGTGTAGAATTTAGTCAAGCTAAATTTTCGTGAAGATCTAAGAATGAAAAAAGAAAGATTGAAAAATAATGCATTTACTTTGTCGTTTATCAGCAATGCACAGCGTTCTAAACTTTGTAGGACCAGGTGATTACAATTTCAATGCCAAACATTTATTCAAAATGACGATCCCTTTACTTCCATTTAGAGACGATCTTGTTGGAAATATGCAAAGCTTTGACACTTATTTTTGAATATTTATACAATCATCGAATACCACAAACACTAGTTATTAATAAGTACAAAAGAATCTAACAAACACCGTGACTCCATTGAAAGAAACTATCCCTCATTCAGCCAGCCGTAGTTATTTGTATTGGGGCCCATCGTTAAATACGTATACCGATAAAACTCCTGACGCAGTCACCGGTCGCGGATGCGACATGAACATTGTGCACCTTCACATGAAATGTAGTTTCCGTTTGACTCTTTAACCCTTACACTCCTTTCTGTCTATCCGTTAGGTCATCGGGACATTGCACATTTATATCGCTTCATCGTTTAATTCCACCCACAAAGTTTTATTCCACTCGTAGGTAACTTCATCTTAATGCGCCTTCCATCTCGCTGTGTATTGAAAAACTTTACTTGGAAGCACGAATTTCAAGAAAAATAACATTCACCTCTATGCTTAGATTGCGGACGAGTATAAGGTGTGCGTTTCCGTCCTAAATCCAATAACTGCCCATTACCCGCTTGCCCTTGAATACTCCAAGGAGTGGAAGCGTCTTACCGCTTGCAGAGCAGCACATGAAGACTGAAGTATTCTCACGGCCAGAGGCGTAGGTTTTTCTCTGACTAGGTATACAAACTGACCGACGGTTTTAGTTTTTGATGGGTCATGCCTAAAAGATGTCTCATTGCAATTAAATGTGCAACGGGGCTTCCCACGCAAATCTGATGTATCAACAAGATTGATAATGGTATCGAAAAAATAATTTACAACCCATGGATTAGCTTAATCTGCGCGGGCATGCTCAATTGTCTGAGGTTTCTTGATGGAGAGTTTGTGTCTTTTAGCAAAGTTTCTGAACCACTCTGATCTGGTCTTTCTCTGGCTAGGCGTACCAGCTACACCGACAGATTTAGTTTTTGATGGGTCTTGCCCTAAAGAAGTCTCATCGCAATTAAATATGCAAGGAACTTCCCACGCAAATTTGATGTCTCAACAAGATTGATAAGGGTATCGAAAAAATAATTCACAACCCATGGATTAGCTTAATCTGCGCGGGCATGCTCAATTGTCTGAGGTTTCTTGATGGAGAGTTTGTGTCTTTTAGCAAAGTTTCTGAACCACTTTGCTCTAAACAAGGTACTGATGGTAAGAACTTGTATCTCTTCGAGAAGAATGCAGTTATCCCAGGCCTTGTTGGACGTTGTTCCATGTAGATTAAATTTTTCTTTTATTCAGTTTGCAACTGTCGAGAGGCGGGGTTATTGTTCCAGCCTAAATGCACTCGAGGTAGGCCGATAAATATGTCAATGTGGTCTTGTGAAAATTTATAGGTTGGCAAAATACTAAAAATTTTATTCTTGCTAGTGCAGAATAAAGTGCACAGAGCAATCAGGCTCTCTATATCTATAACGAAACCTAAAAACCCGGTTTTCGGCTTGCTTTTCAAAATCCGCAGCCCCTTTTCTTCCTGGGAAACTTTCAGACTTTTTATGTATTTCTTACTTGCATTGAGGACCTTCTGAACATTCTAAAAAGAATTTTCATTCAGTGCTTTTTTGAAGCCAGGCTGAAGCAAATTTTTAGAATTATAGACATCAGTTAATGTATCGAAAGTCATTAAAATCTTGATGGTCGCTGCAGCATCTTTAAATTTTCAAAATTGGAATCTTTCAAGAATTGTAGTAAATCTGCGGCAGAACTACTTATGAGCTAGTGAGCTAGTCGAACATTTATTTTTTTACGATTGAAAAAAATGTGTTGGTCAGAAATTGTATTCCCCAACCGTGCATCGACTATATTTTGAAGTTTTTTTTTTTTTTTTTTTTTTTTTTTTTTTTTTTTTTTTTAAATTACTTATTCAGCAACAGTATAATTTTACAAGATGTGACATTGGCTTACAAAACATAAACACTATATGACGGCAGAAATTAATTTAGACTTGAAGAATTTACTGAAAAACGCTATCCCCCTCAAATAAGATGCAGAGTGCGTTGAGCCGGAAGTGCCTGATGACATAGCATTGGTTTTGTCCCTATTAATACAAGTATTTTAGTCCCTAGTGCACTTTTCACAAGACTTGACTCGACACCAGTCCCCAAAACTTCTGGTCACCTCCCAGTGGAAGTTATCCACGGTAAGATCTTCTTCAAGGTCTGCTGATAACTCCAGTCTTAGTCTCAGAAAACGGTCACCCTCAAAAAATGTGTGTTGGGAATCATATCTGACTCTTCTCGTACTCAAAACACACCATGGCTCCTGAACTATTTTGAATCGATGTTTGAAGTTTGTTGAGCTCAAACAGATATTCCCATTTAATAGCCCCGAGTTCTGGATCAAAAATAATTTCCTTGTACCCAAGCGTGCAAGGCAAAGCGTGCAAGCTTCGGACTAATTTCAACATGTTTACAGGCTCAAAAATCGCAAAAAATTGTTCACCATTAACAGGGTGCTTAAAATATGTCTTTAGCTCTGTTAGATTATCAAAGTTTCATCCGAGAATGTTGAACATTCTAAAATTACACGAGGGCCCATCGCGTGTAAGAGTAATTACCTCAATAGTGAGGACGACATTTATGTCTGTATCATTTTTGACCTTCATATCACTGAAAAGAGCAAGGCACTGCGTTACTTAGTTTGCTTTTCGCTCACCACTAACGCCACTTGTGAGGAAGTAGCCTAGTGGTATTTTCCAAGTAGTAATACTAACGCTTGACTTGCTAAATCGGAACAATCAGAGCTGGCCCCAGCACCAAAATCAACGTACCCAAATGACCTGCGGCCATCAGTTCCTATTTTTTTTCTAATCGCCATCTCATCAAGTATCAGACAAGCGACAAGTGATTTTTTTTCAGCCTCTAGTTTCAGGTTCAAGACACGGAAAGATTCAGTGGTAAATCCAGGTGAGCCATCCACAGACCATGAACCACCGAAGTAGAACCACGGTGCAGAATATTCAATTGCACCTTTTAATACATAATATAAAACTAATCGAAACCTATCACAACCATCTACCACTACTTGATAAACACCTATTTACATATGTACTAAAAACATCATGGGCACCAATAGCGGTGAGCTGCTGCTGAATCTCAGTGAAAAAAATTGAACATGGACTATTTTACGAAAACAGAAACACTCAAAAAAATGTCAAGAAAACCTTTTTAAATTTTAACTTAAGTTCGGCTCTGAAATTACTTTGCTATCTAATTGTTCTTGGAAGAGGATCAATTTGTATTAAATTCGACGTTTCGAATTTGCAGTTTGGATAGCGCCCTTGCAAATGTGGTGACAGCGGAGCGAACTTCTTTCGAGCACTTTTGCCCGCACTTCTTCCACGTGAGTTGTCAGTTGTCGTTGAGGGTCGATTCCCATACTCCTCATCTTCGACGAACTCCTGACCAGTTTTGAATCGTTTAACCCACTCAAAACAGTGGGAACATCTCATACAATGATCTTGGTAAACTTTACTTAGCATACCAAAAGCTTCGGTACAAGGTATACCGAGTTTAAAACAAAATTAAATGTTGAGTCTTTGCTCTATCAGTGATCGCATGCTGAAAATCGCAAAACGCACCTGACTTACTCGTATTCAAGATGACACAGAATAAACAAAATCTGTGAACGTAGCGTTCTTAAGTATATATTCCCAGCTATCAGGAAAGCTCAAGAAAACCTAATTCGGACGCATTGTAGGCTGGTTATGACCAAAATCCGGTTCCTAATCCAACAGACCTCGTACTTTTCGAGTAATTTTTGTTTGCTCAATGGTTTATTTGCCGTTTTCTTCAGCAGTTTCTTACGACCTTTATCACTGAGAAAAATTCTATCGAGAACTTCTTCATCCTCATCCACCTGATCAATGGAAGGGGGAGTGCTCGGAGCGTCTGAACCTCTTCATCGAGAAAATATGTACTGCTTTGGGAAGAAACGGGAGAACAAGTCGAAGGTCGTCGATACGAACTGAAACAGGCAGTGGTTGCAGCAGCGATAGATTTGGATGACTGTGACAAGGCGAGAGAAGACGAATTATGAGGAGTCGATGTACTTTCTGACAATATTTTCTTTCTTTTCACTGGGATGGACCAAAATGTGGCCGGCTGATACCTGACGAGGGGCAAGTTGAAGAAGTTTTATTAGAGGTTCATATTAAAGCAGGACGAGTGGGAGAGGTGTGGTGGGTGGGGTGGGTTGAGTGACGGGGGGAGAAGTCTTGAAAGAGGTCATTGAGGGCAAGGATGGGGTTTTGGCATTCAGCAAGTAAGACGGACGTGGTGTCAATGTGGGGTTTTTTATGGAGGGGCCAGTATTCCTGTGAGAGGGAGGCTTGGGTGTCGTTTCTAAATGATCAGCAATGGGCGAAACATTCTCCTTTGCCCCATAGACAGTGTCGAATACGTTGTAATATTCCTATGAGATATTGGCCTCACCAGTCTTTGCAGTTTGCAGCCCTATCTTTGTTGTCTCTGTAAGTTTTCCACAGATCGCGGAATTTTCCCTCGCACTTTCTTGGAAGCACGGGAACACCAAACTCTTGCGACGCTGCTTCTGCAATTCTTGCCCAAATCTTTTCTTTACCACCTACGGTGGCTTTGATGAATTCTGTTTCCTGGAAGATCCATTCTTCTAATAGGAAGAGAACTTTCACACGGCTTCGAAACTTCTCTTTTTTCTCTGGTTTTAAATATTCTGAAACAAAATCAAACCGAGAAGTTTTCAAAACGTACTAGCGCGTATTCTTTGTCAGGTTACTCGACAGGGGCTGTATTACAATAAAATAATTTATGCAATCAGAGAGGGAGAATACATTAAGATCCACCATCAAAATGGAAAGCCATAGAGGCACATAAAACTTATAAAGGTTCAGTTTGTTTGTGAGGGCTTTGGGGAAAGTTTGATGAGACAGCAATAGTGCCAATCCAGAACAAAGTGACATTAAATCTGCATGCTTTCCTGTAGAAATGGGCCGCGGTCTCAACTTTTCAACACACTTTCACAATTTTCCTAATTGGAGTAACTCTCGCGATTTTCAATTTCTTTGACATGATTCCTTCTGTGAGTGACTTATTCACAATTTCTAATAATACCTTACTAAAATTTTCTATCATCTCCTTCCCTACCACACTGCATAATGGATATTCACAATTGCTATTTTTCAATACACTTACCAGTCCCTGAATTTCTTCCAAATCTGCCAGACGCCGATCTTTCAATCCAGGGGAAAACGGTTTATTCGCCTCAGAAAAACGCTTTAAATCGGCTAGATCTAGCGTAAAGTAGGTTTTATCTGAATGGTTGTTCTTCAAAAAAAATTGTTTTACTCTCATTTTTTGGGACTCTTACTTCAGCTGTCTCTGTCCAGTTTATATTGTGGTCGCGAATTGAAAGAATGCGCTTGTCTTCAAAGAGTTTTTTTGAAATTAAAAAAAATCATCATACATTAAAGTATTTACAAGGTAGGGCTGCTTTTTTCTTGCCAATTACATAATAGGAGGTAACTGGAATGGAGTAAAAATATCTCTAGCTGTTTTAGTGGCAAATGATATGTAGGGACTGTGGGCTGAATCTCCTTCATTTTGCCCATGTAATTAAGGACTCAAAATATCTAAGACATATTTCTTCAATAATTTTACTACCATGAATAATATTAAGGACCATGACAGCCAGAATTGAATTTTTATTTTGCCCTGAACAACCATCAGCAAAGAAATGCACTCTTTTTTTCTTTAACCGATCTTGAATAAGTAAAAACTTATACGTACACGAGCAAATAATTATAACGCACAACGATTAAAAATACACATGTAAGCTCATCTCTTTAAAATAAAATTAAAATAAAATCGGAATCATGACCAGATTGAAGAAGAGATAATTGTCAGAAACGTAAAAATAACATTTAAGTACTCAGAAATAAAACTAACAAGTTCACGTTCACTTTAAAATACACGCGGTTACCGGACACGGGCACGCATTGGACACGCTGATTAATTACTGATCAATTACTGATCTCCTCAAAAGTGCAAGACAGTGACACGCACCTTACGAGAACTTTGTTCCTGATTGTCTCCGAGCGTGCTGCGCTGGTCCAGCGACGGTATTTGTGATAAGTGAATCCGTACCCGTACCTTCTGCGCTGCTGCTGCTCCGCACTCAAAAATTACGATTTAAAAAAAATGGTGCGGACATGTCAATCAGGGTGCGGAAAGGACAAAGTGCTGAAACGTCATGCAGCCAAATTCCGCTGATTGCCCATCGTCCCGAACTATAATTTCCGCCGATTTCCTATTTCCTTTTCCTAGGCCCACTCTCTCAGCACTTGAATTTTCAGATATTCGCTCTCTACAATAAAACGGCGGTACACAGTTAAAATTGTCTGTGTTTATGGTTACCTTGGGTCACTTTTTTTCTGGTCAAATTAACCTACAGGACCTGGTTGATCTAACAAATATTTGGTTAAATCGACCCAAATCGTCGTTCCTCTGAGACATCTGTGGATGAAAAGAAGTTTCCCGCTGAACTAAATGCATTCCTGTTCCTCTCGATGTTACTCAGAGTTTGCGACTTGCGAGTGGGTAGCACATTTAACTATCACCAATTCTACCCAGGATCGATTCTAGCGGATTGCGTCTGATTTTTGATGAGGCTGCAAATTGTCAACCCAATGATCGGGTCCATGTAACCGAATGGGCAATGTAAAATATTTTTTTTAATTTAACTTAAGATTTAATCTACGTATCACTAAGAAAAACTATCCAAAAAAGATTAATTTCAATTAAAGTTTAGGTCACTTTGTGTTCTACTGCTTTTATTAACACAACATGTCGGTTAATTTTCTACTCATAAGGTCCCAACTCGTTCGTACAAGATGATAGGCAGTAGCCCGTCAAAACATATGTTCGGAAGTTAATGACGAGAGGTAAAGATATGTAGAATTTTCTTTAAAAACTGGGGGGTTTGGATCTAGAGTCCAGACTCTTAAACACATCGACAAGAAAAAATACTCTTGATTCAATCAGATTTAAGCTTAGATCAAGAACCAAGCCTCTTAATTTGAGCGGATTTCCTTTTGATTCAAGCAAAAATCCGATTGAATCAAGAGTACTTTTTTTTGTCCATGTTTTCAAGAGTCTGGACTCTAGATCCAATGTGTTTTTTTTCCAGTGAGAGTTGAATTAAGTAATTATTTTATGACGTGAATTTTGGCTGATTCAGTTGTTCTTCATTCTTTCTTAAGAGTTTGAGTGGGCGACTTTTCCGTCAGTCGAAATCAAGCTACGTTTTTCCGTGTGGGAAAGAAGGAACTGAAAAGAGAACCCGCGGGAGTGAGGAAGGAGTAGGAGTGGAGCACATCGGAGTCCCGGATCGGCGGAAACGGGCACGAGCGAGCGGCGGGTGGCGCCGCGGCGGATGCTGACATCTGCGGGCCGGAGAGGGAACCAGCGCCCGCGGAGCCACCTGTTGTGCTCCGCGGCAGATTTCGTGCGTGCAACACGACCGATCGCCGTGTTTTCGTGTTTCCGCTCGGCACCGCAACAGTCGAACCGCGATACTCGCCCGGTGAAGATAATCCGCCGTGTCGAGCGCTGATAACGATATCGCGATAGGCGCCGCGCCAGTGCCAACCCATCCGGAATTTTTCAGTTCGCTTCGGCTCCCCGTTCCGCGAAACTTCCCTCTTTTCCCGCGGATTTTACCAGTGCGGACACGAGAATTTTTCCCGAAGGAGTAAACATCAACTAGGACCACATTTTCTGTCGGTGTTTGCTTCTGCCAGTTTTCCGGTTAGAACGAGGCACATTGCTTCATCATAAAAATGTGACAACTTATGACTTACTTTTGTTCACAACTTATGTCGTTTGAAAAGTATGTGCTGTGAAAAGTCCCCATTTGATTCATGAACAATCTAGAAGATAGTTACCAAAAGTATGGAAGATATGCTTGCGGCAAAAATTGTGTCAGTCTGATTATGTCACAACTTATGTCGTTTGAAAAGTATGTGGTGTGGAAAGCCCCCTTATAATTCATGAGCTACCCAGAAGATCGTTACCAAAAGTATGAAAGATATGCCTTCAGCAAAAATTGTGTCAATCTGATTAGTTTGCTACCATCGGTAGTTAGTATTTCACCATCAGTTTTCTTCGTTTATGACTCAATGACGTTTATGATTCATGAACTATCTTGGAGATCGGCACTAAAACTATTACCTTCGGCACAAATTGTGTAAGTCTGATTAGTTTACGTAGTGATTGGATACTCCGAACGAAATTATGGCAAATTCCACCATTAGTGTTCTTGATGTATGACTCGATTCTTATTACGTATTATGATATGGAGTAAAGATAACCAGGATCAATGCATTCACCATACGTATGGTAAATGCTAAGAGGATTGTGGTATATGCTACCACTGAGCCCGTTGTTACTGCACTCCTATAACTGAATTAAGTCGACCATTAATTTTCAGTTTAAGTTCTATTCGTAAACTTGAAGGTTTCACCGTCAAATTCGTCGTATTGTTCCGCAACATGTATCAATAACTGCTCATCTTGGAAACAAAATGATCAAACTCGCATTATTTTGTTTCAAAAAATTCTCGTTAAAAATTCACGTTGAGTTCAATCGTCAATGATGTAAACTCTTGACCAAAAGCCGGTTCTTTGAGGGTAGCTGTAAAATTTTCCAATGATTAATTTCCCGTTTAGGTATTTAGATGCTATTCGATCATTCTTTCATCCATTCATCTTTAAAGAAAAAAGCTCTTTGAAAATTCACATGGCTAAAATTCAGCAGCTTTTTTCAAAGAGTAAGGTGCATTGTAATGTTTAGATTCTCCAAGAAGAAGAATGCCGAGGTTAAAAATAGTTGTTTCGGGGTCCCTCCCCCTCCCCCTTCCACCCAAAGGCTTCTAAATCACAAAAAATTTGAGAGGAACAAAAGCTAAAAATCTGCATATGAAAATTCTAAACATATTTTTTATACATCCGCCTCCCAAATCCCTAATTTACCCTCGACGCAAAGCTCATTAGTCGAGCGCGTACGTACAGTTTGCTCTCGTACACTGTTGGCACATTCCACTGTAATGCTCTGTATTACTCAATAACATTGAAAAAGGAATGAGCACAGTGGAGAGTGATGTTAAGGGTGAGATAAAATCTCCAGATCGAAGAAGGTCAAGAACTGTTTTTCGAACTTAATGAACCGCGCAGGGATAAAGTTGCAGCATTCTTTCGTCCGTGCTTAAAAGGCCGTTGCAAGGGGTTTTCAGCGCTGGAGATAATGACTGTTGCCTTAAGCAGTTGTTCCGTTCCGAGCCGCTTTTTGACGCTTTGGAATTTGTCACTCGATTTCGAGGGTGAAATGATGAACTCAAGTCCAATCGCTGCATGACAATGAGGGAAATCGCGCTGTTACTTTATTTTTCTTTAACCGATTGAAATGAAATGTCTCTGTGCTTCCCGAGCATCGAACAAGTTCTTCGATGCTTAGGAATTCAAAGTATGCACAACAAGCAGGCATTGCCCGCGGATGGAGAAATATATGATACTTCAAAAAGACTGTCAAATTTAAAAAATAAAAAAAATTAAAAGTCTACGTACTGTCGTAAATAGAAACTTAAACATTTTCCAGTGCTTTTATAGTTCAGCCTTTGAGATTTTGGCTGAGTTAAACTTGCGTATGCAAATGCATATAATGTGCGGGTGTGTCGCTTGCATGGATATTCATCTAAACGAATCCGTTTACTTTAGGCTGATAGGAAAGGGTCTTCAAGTCGTGTTGCTGCAATGTCTAATAGGAGTCGTAAACTTTAACTTTATTAAAATAAGCTAACCACAAAGTGCGGCTGATTCCAGCTTGATCTGGTAACCGAATTGACAGAGAGTCAGAATTGATAAATTAAATGTTCAAGTAGTCACGATAACGTGAATTGAAGAGTGTGTGTGTGCGCGGAGAAATAATGAAGATTCCGAAACTTATGTTTGTAGTTTTCTGTATTCACTCTAAATCCATTGTTTCGGTAATAAGATTCGCCATTAAATGGTGAACCAACCGAACGGTCAAAATAATACCACTTCAAAGTGTTACATTGTGTTTTCTCAGCATATAAGAGCTCATTGTCGTCTAAAATTAGTTTAGTGAAATCTAAGTTTTGAGAGTTTTAGTAGGTAGGAAAGTAGAAAAGGAAATTTCTATTCAGCAAGTATTAGTAAGTGATCGTAAAAGCGTATAATTGAACTTTTTGCGAACAGGAATTACTATCGTTGATTAATGCTATAGAAGCTGCAAACTGAGAATCATCTATTTTCAGTTTGCAAATTGGTGAGTTCATGGATAGGTCATAGATACTGGCTCCTTATTGCAAAATACAGCCCACATGTTGGTTCAAATAACACATACTTTTCAAATGCCTTTTTTTTTTAACATTCATCAAGTTAAAAACCAATAATTTTTTTAAACCCTACACAGTTGGCGACTTTAGCCTCTCAACTCATCGGCAATAAATTCTGTCCATAATAATTGAATTTTCCTGTTTACATTTTCAACGAAAGGTCACAATATCTCTCTCCCAGCCTGTGACTGACACATCCCGAAAAGGACATCGAAATGCGCGGAACTATTCTTTAATTTCGGACACACACCGACATCGTCAAAACTCGTCGGAATTCCTCTCGACGCAATTTCAGTGAAATAATCAGTGTTGCTTTCGATTAACTTTCGAGATTCATCCACGCACTCGCACCCCACAAAAAAGTCGTTTCCGTTTCTTTAGCTCCAGTGGAGACTTCAACCAAAAAATTTGTCTCCGTTTCTTTAGTTCTAGTGGAGACTTCAACTAAAAAGTCGTTTCCGTTTCTTTAGTTCCAGCGGAGACTTCAACCAAAAAAATTGCCTCCGTTTCTTTAGTTCTAGTGGAGACTTCAACTAAAAAGTTGTTTCCGTTTCTTTAGTTGTATAGTGGAGACTTCAACTAAAAAGTTGTTTCAGTTTCGGTAAAGACTCAAGCGTGAAAAGTGTATCTTTCCTGTTGTGCGCCATCCCGGGAGCGAGCGAAAAATTCGGACACGCCTTTCACCACCTGTTACGTGGATTAATAACGCTGAAACAGTGAAGTGTTCCATACCGGACCGGATTCGGGAGCGTCGGGAGTAGCTGTTCAGGAGCCGCTTCGCAGGGTACGCATTTTATTTTAATTAAGTTTCCGTGTAAATTGAGCTTTGAGTAGAGGACTCACCGACCCAGTCCGCGATCCCATCTGGTTTTAATAAATTGCTTTTCCCCGTATTTTTTCCAACCCCTTTTTTTTATCTTTTTCAGCGTGTGCAGAGGTCCTGCATCATCGGGCTCACGCTCCTCCCCGTCTAATGAAAGTTGTGCGACTCCGTCGACAAAGGAACGAGTCGCGAAAGTCAAAGTCAAAGTTGATGCTTTGTAGTGCACGAAAGCTCGGGGGGTCGCAGAAAGAGGCGAATTGTTTTACGTGTCTTGCGAGAGTCAGCGCCGCCGGGACCTCCGGTCCTTGGTTCAATCGAATTTCTTGCACTCCGTCTTGGGCCAACAGTCGAGTTTTTATCATTCGTCGTGGGATTCACGCCGCGGGCGCTCGGGAATGAAAACGGATTTGCATTAACGATATGACTTGTTGCAGCCCTTGAAAATTCGAACTCAACGATATGCTGAGAAAACGACGAAATACCTAAAAAATTGTGCATTCACGCGGTTGTAAATCTGCCACCACGTGATTTTTGTTTCCTTCATAACTTACAGCATTCTCTTTAGCAACCGAATTCCACAGTAGATACACTGGAAGAAAAACACATTGGATCTAGAACCCAGACTCTTGATTCAATCAGATTTAAGCTTAAATCTGATTGAATCAAGAGTATTTTTTCTTGTCAATGTTTTTAAGAGTCTGGACTCTAGATCCAATTTGTTTTTTTTTCCAGTGTAAGTCCAATTGGTGCACGTTCCACCGAAAAAAAGTGATGCTGATTGAACATTCTGATTGTAAAAAAGTGTGCAAGAACTCACAAAACGCTGAAATAACCGCTACAGCAGTTACTTTAGCAATGTCAAGAAGTAAAATTAATTGCTGTGGCGGTCAATGCAGCCTTTCGTGAGTTGTCGCATATTTTTTTTACATCCAGAATGTTAAATCAGCATCCCTTTTTTGATCGGTGATTAACGGAAGGTCTTTTGGTTCATGTATAAAGAAAGATGTCCCACTTTCATCTACTTCTTGTATTTATTCCAACTCGTTTTGAATTGGAAGCTTTAAAGCTTTAAAAAATTTAAAGCATCTCCCCTCCACTCTTTCTCCCCACCTATATTCTTTTCTTGTGTTGAGTTGAAAACATTGTTCGATGAAATTTTTGATGCCATAGCTCCACTCTGATTATTCCCGAGATATATACTTCACTGAATACCCAACTACATGCTTAGAGTTATACAGAATCAATCCAGTAACATACAATTTTCGGACGTAAGAATGGTTTTTGCCCGACAATATGCTTGAATATTTGCTAGCGAATAAAATGGATCGTCATTGAAGGTTTGAAGGCCATAAGAAACCACACGCAGAAATCCATTGAGAAAACCTAAGGGAACCATCTTAAAATTTGATTCTGCCCAACAGAATGCAGTCAGCTCTTTAAAATTACACCATGTACCGAATAACGTCACCACGTATTGAGTTCGTGTGATGACAGGATGCGTTTTCTGACGTCAGCACAGGTAAAAAACAGGTGGCACGCACGCCATTGTTAGTACAGTGACTGCATTAGTGAGGGCACGAAATGTTTTCCGTCCTCCCACTATTTCTGGATTTCATAGCTTTACCCGTCCATATGGCTCGTTGTAAGCAAAATCATCGAAAACACACACCGAAAAATGGGTGAAGTTTATTTAACATTCCAGATGTAAAAAAAGCGTGCGAGAACTTATAAAATGCTCAATTACCCGCTCCAGTAGTAATTTTACATCTTGACACTGCTGAAGTGACTGCTATGTAGCGAGTAATTCAGCATTTTACAATTTCTCACACTTTTTTTACATTTAGAATGTTAAAGCAAGTTCACTTTTTTTTTCAATGCATTTCTGACTTCTACATACCTAAAAGGCTGACTTAAAGCAAATCAATTTTATTACTTCAAGTTTTTACCGCAAACAAATCTGTCTCAAATATTAAATAATTTCGATTGACTCGTATTTTCTATTCCTTGTTTTTTAATCGGGGGCGAAAGTGCTCTTGAAAGGAACATTTTTTTCACGCAGTTTCATTGTTTATGTATCCGGTAAATCTGTTTAATCGTAACATAAAAACTATTTCATTAGGACAGGACTGGTCGTTATTTTACCTCCTCGTTATGTATGAAATACTATTTGCACGATAAACGTGGATTTGACTAAAAATGACATCATTGTTTTTTCCTGACAATGCATTTTTTTTTTTTTTTTTTTTTTTTTTTTTTTTTTTAATGGTAAAAGTTCAGAAATTTCAGTACATATCATCGAATAATACTTATAAAATTGTCGAGTTTCCTCTACCAGGACGAACTGTTTGCAAAAATGTATTTCCTTTTTTTTTCCTTTCCTCACGAAGGATATATTTAAGGATGGCAAATTAGAAGAGAGAGTGCACAAGGCAAGGACGGTGCTCAGTATCGTTCGCACAATTCAGTTCCTGCAACTGAGTTCTCATCTTGACTGACCTAAAGAAAGAGTTTAGTTTCATGAACCGACTATTTGATGGCATGAGGTCGCATATATTCATGGGTACTTAAACCGAATCATACGGTCAACTCTTACCAGTGTAAACCTACTGCGTACTGCGTCTCAGCAAACTTTTATCCCAGGCTTAAAAATGTTACCCTCGCGTCTACGAAACCATAGCAAGCATGCCACGTCGAAGACACGGCAACATAACACGGACCGGAGTTTCTCATTATTTCGGGAAAATTGAGGAAAGTTTTTGCTCGAGCAATTTAACTTTTTCGCTCGCTGATAAATGCACTGACTTGGAAATGAAGCTCAACGTTTTAATTATTTTACGACGCCTAGCCGATAATCGACCAGCTAAACAACCCGGTCTTACGTCCGGCCTCCGATCAAGAATTCAAACGTAAATTTATTGAATCGGTCTCATTTTTCTTTGCAAGGAAATTATTATTTTCAGGGATTCCTTCACTCGGAATTCGCATCTCTGCAGTTTAGTGATGCAAGACGCCAACTTGGTGGTGATTATCTTGTAGAACTAATTGGATCCGGCAGGTCTTGTTGAAAACTCGAGCATCGTATTTTCCGGGAACAGATCATGAGTCTACGATAAAATAGGAGTAAAAGCTTAATTAAAAGGTGTATTTGAAGGGCGTAAGAGTTATGTCAAATATTTCTGACTCATAGAAAAACAAACGAGCCTCAGTTTTAAAATCATTTTTGATTTGCCCATTGATTCTCTGGCACGAATGAATAAATGAAATCCCAACTTTTAGTTTCTGCCCAACCTAACCAAAAACGTACCCCATCCTTAATTTGACCATTCCCGAATCTGCAATGAAAGCGCTATTCATGTCCTCGTAAACTAAATATGCCTCTTTAAATTACATTGAGATATTTCTCAGTGGTAGTCCTGGTATTCAAATCGTCAGACAAAAAGCCACGAAAAGGAGTTAGCAACCAAGAGACACTTGATTACGATCAAATAGCTCTGAAGTTTCAGCCATTCCAGTGACCTTTTCAAAACCATCCCTTGATCCCACATTTTTGGATCGTCTACCTTTTATACTCTCTTTCGTGCGTACACACACTTATTTTTGAGAGGTCGAAAGCAGATACGGTAGTTAAGTCCAAATTACTGAAAGCGTCTTTGGCTAAGTAACTAGCAGTATATCCGTGCTTTGCACGGGGCGCGATGAAAAGTGAGGGCTGAAATATTTTATTGACTGGACTTTTATGCCTGTTAGGCGATTTATTTTTAAAAGAGACTGTTATCACTGCTTGCCTTCGGTCTGTCAGAACCCACTTATTGATCCCAAAGAATAATATATTAAGGTGTAATATCATAAAGAGTCAAAACTATATCTGGACGTATTTTTGCCAAACGGAACTACATTGATTAAGATATGAGCGCTGAGACCCATAAGAATACATGCATAACAGGGCTCACGTCATAATTCCAATAGTTCTGTTTGGTAGAAATACGTCCATTTTATAATTATCTCTCTCTGTCACCATCTTAAAATCTCAAGATACGTAGTATGACTCATTGATTGTGTCAGTCATCTTACATTCGCAAGCAAACTGAGAAATCGGCTCCAAAACTTTCAAGGAAACAACAGAACTGATCTATTTTAAATACCAATTTCCGCACGGGTAGTTCCTTTGATGCAACGTTTTCTGAGAATTTGCCACCGGTGGAAGTAATTATTCGATGCGTTTAACGTAACGTATGTTTATTTATCTTCAATATAGGTCTGTATTGGCGCTGCTACCAGTCGAGTTGATTCTACACCGAAAGTAGAAAAACGCGATCTAACGCGAGGTAGTCGAAACTCAATTACAATCGGAAAGTTGTGATAATTCTTTCATGGCGGAGGAGCCCTAGAGCTCGCGCGAGTCATGATTAACCCATTGTTTTCTTTGTCAATTTTCCGCGTCGGCAAGCTTTTACTGCTTGTTTAAACCATTGAAAATATTGGACCGTCGCTTTGTGCAAATGTGCAGCTCCATTCTCTATTCATCTTGCGCTCGTAGGAAAAGTTACCTCCACCATTTTTCGAAGCGAAAATAGTTAGTTATTTTCACACAGAAAATTTTCAAACGTATATCGTCACCTTCCGGTGAAAGTATCACGAGCATGCCATGTTTAAAAATTTTCACCGCCATTTTTTTTTTTTTTTTTTTTTTTTTTTTTTTTTTTTTTTTTTACAGAGAAATTGTTCATAAATTTCACTGTATGTTCTTTGTGCTGCCGATAAAGTTATGTTAAATTGTCTAACAGATTCAACCAATAATGGAGAATTTGCATGCAAACTTTTTATTGCTTCATCTGAAAGTGCTTGAAGATCTGATTTCACAGTATTTTTTCTAATTTTTCTCTGATATAAAAAAAGTAGAAAAATAGACTCAAAGGTGCGAAAATGCACCGCCTAGTGGCATCATCGGGCGGCATTTCCCA